TAAGTTTCAATTTTTGGGAGGAAGGAAAGCCAAGTGGTCAGGACCCTATGTCATCAAGGGATACACAACTGAAGGCAGAGTTGAGATAGAGGATTCAATCTCAAGGATATGCTACAAAGTGAAAAAGGAAGGTCAATCCTTATCTTGAAAATAAGCTAAAATAAAATATAAACCCACCTATAAAGTTCAAGGACTCCTAAAGGTCCCATCATCTATCAAGCTAATGACGTTAAAGAAGCGCTAAATACGAGGCAACCCAATGGGTAGCATTATTCTTCCCTTTTTATTCTTGGTATTTTCAAATTACTATTATCCTACATGGTTGCTTAAGCGAGTATATCATGAGCTCTCTAGTGGCCTCTCTATGGTCACTCGCTTAGAATGATCCATGTTCTCACTCTGAGTGCTCAAACTATGTAACTCTCTAAGTTGCTTCACTCAAAGCGATTGAAATTTGCTTTCAGCAAATTTTAGCTCGCTTAGAGTGTCCATGGGGTAGATTTGAGTGACCAAAAAAATTATTTTCTTTTTGTACTTATATTTTTTTAGAGTTATGCAACTTATGCCACAGAGTCAGCTTACTCTAAAGGATCAAGAAGTTGTTGACCAAGGAGGAGGTAAAGTTGCATAGTCATTTAAAAAGGAGGAGAAGCATAGGCTTGCCTAAGAAGCTAAGTTTTTTTCTTAATCTTTTCTAGCATTTTACTTTCATATTTATGTTTCTTGAACTGAGTTGTTTTTTTCTTTTTCGAAATTGAGTTGTACTAAGATGTATATGATAAGTAATTGAACACAAACTTATTTGCTAATCAGTAATTAACTGTGTTAATTGGTAAAAACAATTTTTTTGTGGTAATGGCAAAGGTGAAATTACTTGAATGTTTGAGTTTACTGCTTTGAGACTAAAAAGTCTGGCATGAGTGTTTATGTTTTTTTTAAAAAAAAAACCAAATCGGTGAGTGAGGGATCCACAAATAGTGAGGATTGAGTATCTGCATTCTCTTTTGTTCAATTGGTTTTATTTAAATCTTGTAATTGTGTGAAATTATCTGTGTGTTGTGAAATGGTCAAGGTAGTTTTAAATTTTTGTTTGAGCCACTAAGCCAAAAAGCCAACCTGAAATTTTTTGTTTTTAACACTTACTATCCCTTTGAGCCAAACATTTAATTTTATTTTTGAAATTCAAGCCTATCAGAAAAACTAATTGTCACCCTATACCTTTAGGAATAAGGAGCACAATTTAGTAAGAATAGGTGCATAGGTTCTATGTTTGGTGTGGGCATACACTATACCCACAACATAAGTAAGGATTATAAGTTTGGTGCGAGTATGTTACACCCATAAAAATTATCTGGAAGGTTAATGATAATCCAAGCACTAACATAAAGTTGTAAGCACCTTTCTGCTTAAAAACAAGACAAAATAAAATAAAAATAGAAATGTTTCAAATAAAAAAGTAAAAGAAAGGCACATATGTCAAAATTGAAAATAATGCTTTGGGGAAATCTATAAGGAACTAAAGTGATAAGAAAAAGGAATACAACTAAGTGTTCTCCTTAATCTTAGGTGTTTTTGATTTCTAGACAAATAATGAAATTTTCATTAGCCTAGCCATATTACAAGCCTAAAGAAAATCCTTAGTAATCTCTACATACTTATGATTTTTACACATTTGTTTTGAAAAGGAAATATGAAAAGCAAAACTAAATTGGATGGTATTGAAATGTGTGAAGATAGTAAAACACTAACCAAAGAATTACAGTTGGGATTACAATAATAGTGAGAGCAAGTGTATTGGATTACATAAATTACAAGTGTCATAAGATCTAGTGTCTTATAAATTTCTTTAAGCATTACTTGTGTAGATCCAATGTTGTTACTACAAGTGTATTGGATTACATAAATTGCAAGTTTCATAAGATCTACTCTCTTAGAAATTTCTCCAAGCATTACTTGTGTGGATCCAATGTTGTTACTGCAAAAATGATGTGCTTGTTTTTGAAAATAATTGTAGAAAAGGTTTTGTTCATATTCATTGATCCCAATACATCCAAGACTATGCTTAAAGTTGATTTGCTCAGGGACAAATAAGATTTTAAGTTTGGTGTATCTTGATAATTGTCAAATATGCATTCATACTTTATTCAATTTAGAAAATTATTGATATATTATACTTTTAAGTCTTGTCTTTTGCCACAAAATATTTAGTTAAGAGATAATTTCAATTTTATTTTAATTATTTAAATATTAGGTTTTTTTTTTTGTTTTTCTTTGTTGAAATATCACAAGGAGAAGATAATTTGGTAAGCTACAAAGTCTGAACCAAAGTTATTACTCCAAGCTATAGAAATTTGCTCATAGCCACTGAAAATTTTCTTTGAGTGAGCCAAGATAGAGAACAACACTTGAAGCAAACATTTGGTCGCTCAAAGTGAGCCTCCTAGGCACTGTGAGTGAGAAGGATTTGCTCAAAACTACCACAATTTTGCTCGAAAGCCTATAAAAAATTATTATAAAACTAGTATTTCTAGAGATTTTTGTATCAATTCATACTGTAATACATTATTCTTAGTACAATTCTAGAGAGATTAGATAGTGTTTTGTGAGATCAATATTGTAATCATGGCATGCTCGAAGATTTATCTATTATTGTAATCCTTAGTTACGAGTGGTTAAGTTTGTTGGGGATCACAAACGCACTCACACACACAATTACAATAGAGAAAGTAAATTAACAAGACATATAGATATATTTACCTGGTTCAGTTAGAATAACCTACGTCCACGGCCGCACTAGATGGTATTTTCTATTTCATAATTAGGTTTACAATTACATGAGTATTTATAAAAAAGAAAGGAAGCAAATGGACCAAGCACAATAATCCCTTCAGACTCCACATACTCAACAATCTCCCACTTAGATGTTGATCACATCAACTGCACTCCTAAGTAAATCTAGTAAATCTCAAAATCGTAACACAAGATTCTTTGCAAGATGAATGACACTCTGATTATCACTATAAAGAGCACTATCACACTGCTTCTTGCCCAACTCTTCAAGAAAATTCTTCAACCAAATCATTTCCTTACCGGCTTTTGAAATAGCCATGTACTTTGCTTTTGTGGTTGAAAGTGCAACGCTTTTCTGAAGACAAGACAAGACATCCAACTAACTGCTATGCCACCTACTATGAAAACAAATCCTGTAGTACTCTTCCTTGTGTCTGAACAACCTCCCAAACCTACAGTAGAATATCCTTCCAAAATAACATCATTCTTACTAAAACATAATGCAATCTTAGAAGTACCTTTCAAGTAGCGTAGCAACCACTTGGAAACTTCCCAATGCTTCCTTCCTGGATTAGACATGAATCTGCTAACATCTCCCACTGCATGAGCAATGTCTAGTCTAGTGCATACCATTACATACATTAAGCTACCAACTGCAGATGCATAAGGAACCTTAGCCATTACTGCCTTGTCTTCATCCGTCTTAGGTGAATGCTCCTTTGAGAGATTGAAGTGAGCCCCCAAAGGTATACTTACGATCTTGGTATCTTGCATGCTAAATTTCACTAACAATTTCCCAATATACTTCTCTTAAGATAATATTAAGGAACCTTCAGATATGTTCTTATTGATGTTCATGCCCAAAATCTGCTTTATAGCGCCCAAATCCTTCATTTTAAACTCTTAAGGTAATTGTGCCTTCAATCTATTGATTTCATCCATATTAGATCCTACAACTAACATGTCATCAACATATAATAATAATATGATATAGGATGGACCAAATTTTTTCATATAACAACACTGATCCATGACACACTTCTTGTACCCCTTCCTACTCATAAAACTATCAAACTTCAGGTACCACTGCCTTGGTACTTGCTTCAGCCTATACAAAATCTTGGTCAACTTATAGACCAAGTTCTCCTTCCCTACCATTTGGAAACCTTCTAGTTGCACCATGTAGATGTTCTCATCAAGGTCACCATGTAAGAATGTTGTCTTAACATCTAGCTGCTCTAGATGTAAGTCCTTGGCAAACACAATGCTCAACATAAGTCTAATGGTAGTCATTTTAACTACAGGAGAGAAAATCTCATTATAGTCAATACCTCTTTTCTACTAAAAACCTTTTACCACTAACCTTGCCTTGTATCTCTTGTTGCCATCATGTTCTTCCTTGACCCTGAAAACCCATTTGTTCTGCAATGCCCTCTTTCCTGTTGGTAGGTCAGTCAAACACCAAGTTTTATTCTTCTCAAGTGTCTTCATCTCCTCCTGCATGGCTAATTCCCACTAGGCTATATCATCCATCTGCAATGCCTCATGATAATATAGAGGTTCTCCATTGTTAGTCAACAACAAGTAATTTGCTGAAGGAGAGAATCTATGAGGAGGCCTGATAACTCTACTAGATCTCCTCACTTCAATTACTGGCGTGACTGGAATGGTCTCCTCAACTGTCCTATTTTATGTGCTCTCATCTTTTCCTACAATGTTGTCTTCTGTAATTTCATCTAACACTGCCTCTTGCTTCTTTGTTGGTTTCTTCTTAACTTCAGCATTTGTCTCAAGTCTGTCCTTGTACATTGCATTTTCATTAAAAGTAACATCTTTTTTTCTAATGATCTTTCGATTTTGATCATCCGAAAAATAATATCCCATATCGTTTTCTCTATAACCAATAAAAATGCACTTTCTTGCTTTTGGATCAAGTTTATCCCTGTCAGCATCTCTAATACGAACATAAGAAACACAACCAAATACTTTCAAATGAGAAAGAATTACATCCACTACTACAAAAATACTATTTAACATCGCTATATTTATATCGATTTTAGTAGAATTGATGTAAATCATAAACGCGGTGGCAAACTTGTAAATAAATAGAAAATGCAAACATATTTACATTGGTTGGGAGGAAAAACGATGTAAATATGAGCAATTCTACATCGGTTTTATGATTGAACGATGTAGAAATGGAATCAGGAAGTTATTCTACATCCGTTTTGCTTATGACCGATGTAGAAGTGAGCCCCTCCTGCGAACACGCTAGGTTAAAGCATACTCGAGGCCAAGGCCTCTTCGCTCTCTTCCTCCTCCATCTTCGCCGTCGCTACGTCTCCGTCTTCCTTCAACCACCGCATCACCATCCCTAATTTCCTAACCTTACACGAATCTCGCGCCTTCCTCCTTGTCCTCCTCAACAACCTTCTCCTCTCCAATGCCCCCTCCCGCACTCCCCTCCTCATTTCCCAAACCCTAAATTCAAACTTGATAGAGCAACATTGGTCTCTAACTTGATATTTCTTTTTCCTTCTAGGTTGTAAGGCGTGAAATATGTGCAGTGGTTACAAAAGGTACATTAACGGATGGGGAGCTGCTGTCTTCAAACCCTGAAGCTGCTTATTTAATGGCCCTGACCGAGCATCATGAAAATAATCCAGATGAAATTTCATAGCATATCTATGGTGTTTTTATAGTTGATGTCGCCACAAGTAGGGTTATTCTTGGACAGGTATGACACTGTACATTCATTCTAGTTCTCTGGCTAAATTTTATTATGCATAAACTTATTCCAAACCTTGAATGGGATCTGTAAATGTGATCTGGCTGTGAAGTATTGAATTCTTCTACCTGTAGCTGTATAGGGCTTTTGCACAAAATTTCAATATTCATTTGGTTGCTTTGTTCCTTCCTCCATTTGCCTTGGTGATCAGTTATTATTTTAGAATTTCTTGAATTTATTTGGAAAGTGAGCATGCATACCAAATATAGACCTAATTAATCTTCTGATTGCTTATATTATCCCTTATTTATGTATTTTGGGGTTGGAAAAAAAAACTTAAAAAATAGAACCTTTAGTACCTTTTCACACGAGATAGAAACAATAGTTTCTGCATAAAAGATGTTATAACAAAATTAAATCTGTTTTTGCAGTTAAATAAACGGATTGATGCATCCATAATTGAGATCTTAAGTCCAATAACTTTGTTCTGCTAACTTTTATTAATTTTGGTGCTAGCTCCACTAAAGAATGCAATTGACTGGGCATCTAGACCCCCAAATGTTTGGGCTGGCAAAGCTGCTGCAATTGTAAGTGCTGGATATGATGAACCTGGTGGGGGAAGGGAACAATATCATCTTGCCAAATTGGAGTCTATCTTGATCTTCATTTCATCAATAAACCAGAATTCTTCCTTAATTCATTCCAGCCCCCCAAAAAGTTTAACAGGGATGGTGATTTAATTGATGAAGAGGCCAAGAATAAGTTAAAGCAAGTTCTTCTATCCTTGCAGAAATTGACCCTTAGACTTCAAGGCAAAGGCTGAGCCTCAAGTTGCTCTAGTTCTCAAAAGTTTTTGAGGTAAGTTGTGATTTTAGAAACTCTAATGTGATACAGAACTTGCATGACAACATTATGGTCCGGTATAGGTAAATCTCTGCAAAAATTAGTTTTTCGAAAGCTAAAATTAGCTTATACTTAAGCTAACTTGTAGGAACTCTCTCATATTGGTTTCTCCAAAAACTCTTATTTTAACTTATGTGTAAGTTGATTTTAGTATACCTTGCTGGTTCTGAACGTGCAAAAAGAACTAGCGCAGATGGCATGCGTTTAAAAGAAGGTATTCCTTTTGCTTGTGATGGGGCATATTGTTTTGATAAGAATAGGAATATAATTGATACACAAAAATATGTTCTCTAATATATCATATTTTCACAAACCACAATAGAATTTTGAAAATTGTACACCACTGCCTTTCTGCTAGATGAGTTTTATAAATGCAATTTTTAAAATTTTAGTGATAAGTTAGTTTTTCCATTGTCAAGGCATTCATATCAACAAGGGTTTATTAGCTCTTGGAATGTAATAAGTGCTTTAGGAGATGAAAGAAAGCGAAAAGAAGGTGGCCATGTCCCATATCGTGATAGCAAATTAACAAGGCTACTATAGGTTTGCACATTGGGATCTGGTTTTTTTTTGTTGCATTTGTTGTCATGTACGTTTGTGCAACAATCTGAATTGTTTTCCTTTGCCATATGTCACTGTTTTCACACAAAAAGAACCCAATAAAATGCTAGATTATCTTGTCAAACTAGAACATTATATTTTTCCTGAAGTTTAAGAATGTTCATTTGCTTCTGCGGTTAAAACTCATGTAAAGAATCCCTCTCTCCTTCCCTCCCTCTCAATCTCTCTCCTACACACACACAACTTAACAAATGAAATTTCTTTTTTAATTGTTTTATAACTTTTAAGTTAACCAACATATCTGCAACAACAATTGTTCTGCCAGAACAGAGTGTAGCAACAGAGAAAGCAGGTTTGGCCGTAAACAAGAAAGGTTTGACTTTAAAAGAACTTCTCCAGCAAACGTCTCATCATAATGCAAAAGTTCATAGAGGTATATATATTAATATATTTTCAGTATATATAATTGCTTTTAAATGTGCATATCAGTGTCAATAATTCTTTATAGAACAATTTTGTATGTTTGAAACGAATAAAATCCTCAAAAAGATTAATCTTGATAAGCTGAGTTGAACAAAAGTTTTCAGCACAGTAGATATTAACTTGTTAGGTTATTTATTAACCTTAAAATTTAGAAGCCAGGTTATACTTGTGCACTTGCTACTAACATGAGGGGGGAATATGACTAATGTATGAACTATTTAAATAGTTCTCTCTATTTATTACAATTATAATGTATTTTTTGTTATTATAATTAACAGAACATTTTTATGTATTGAAATATTGATGAACCTTGGTCCGGAGCTGAAACACCTAACCTAGGTTTTGGTTTAGCTTTTAAATTTTCAGGAATGATAAAGGTCAAGTTGGTTTGAGTTTAAGTCTAAGGCAAAAAATTAGGACCATGAACATTGTGTCAATATTAGTCACTATTTCCAAATCTGTCAAAAATAAAATTGAGTGGTCATTAATTATATTGTTTGGATCCTATGGAAGTTTCTCTAATGGCATGTCTTTATTGCTTTAATGTGTTGACCTGGTTCCTATTCCTAATATTCTATTATTCTTTTTGAATTGTAATATCATAAATTAATTCCATTGCTTTATTTAATCCTGTTAAACATTCCAATCTTCATTTAAATTTGGTAATCCTTGTATTAATACTCTTTCTTTTCTACCCGCTAAATTACAGATGCATTGATTGGTATTAAGGATTTATTCATTAGATATCCAGAAGAACAAAGGTTGCACAAGTATACTGCTATAGAAAAACTTCGTGAGCGCATTGGTGATGATGATAAAGTGGTCCGAAAATCATTATATGATCTTTTTAAAGTAGTGATTTTACCTGGCTGTAAAGAGGTAATTTTCATTTTGTTTACTTGAATCACTTTTCTCACACATTGGGATGATGCTCCATTATCATTTAGAAGCAATCCATCACTGACTCACGGTCCAAACTTGTTTCTAGGATTATGACCTGGTTAAATCTTATGTGTCAAAGATCCAAGAGATGGAAGGTGAATTACAGCGTTTGAAAAATTCAAATGAGAAATCTAGACATTTTGTTGACTGAGTTGATTAGGATGATAGCAGATTCCAGTCAAAGAATGCTTTATTTGCATGTGATAATCAGTACTCTTCTGATTGTGATGCCAAAGTGGACATAACAGGTAGAATTTTGGCAGTTGTTTTGATGAATTATTGTATGATGTATCCTTGATTTGATTGTTAACCCTTGTGGCTGATGTTAATAATATTATTTCTGACAATTTTGTTATGGTCGAGACAATTGAAATATAAATAGTTATTTTTTTTATTGAAATATAAATACTTGCTATAGTATTAAAGAATTAAGGTTTTTGTATGTTACTGTTTGGTGCTAGAAAATCACGTGTCTAATTGGAACGTGTCTAATTGTTTTTGTGTAATTTGTAAACAAATTTCTAAAGCTACATATATGTTCATTACAGGTAATCAGAAATAATCTATAAATAAGCATGATTTTTTTTTTAAATGAAATCTACATTGGTTCTCAAGAAAACCGATGTAGATTTAAGCATAAATCTACATCAGTTGTCCAGAGAACCGATGTAAAAATGTATACATTTTCTACGTCACTCTATTTTACATCGGTTTTAGAACCGATGTAGATGACTTTAGAGAACCAATATAGAATATGCATCTTGTAGTAGTGATCCTTGCTTTGCCATTCCTCCTTAGGAATCTTGAACCCTATCGGAACTGAGGGTCCTCGATTAATGAGGTATGCTGTTTTGCTCACTGCATCTACCCAGAATGTCTTCGATAACCCTGCATGAATTCTCATACTCTTTGCCCTCTCATTCAAGGTCCTTTTCATTCTTTCAGCAACACCATTCTGTTGAGGTATCTCAGGAATAATTTTAAGCATTCTAATTCCATTCTCAACACAATAATTAACAAATTTAGGACTATTGTATTCACCACCATTATCAAACTTTAAACATTTAATTTTTTAATCCTGTCTCATTCTCAACAGCAACTTTCCACTTCTTAAAGGTATTAAATACTTGTGATTTTTGCTTCAAAAAATAAACCCATACCTTTCTGGTGGAATCATCAATGAAGGTGACATAATATCGTGATCCTCCCAATGATGAGACTGATCTTGGTCTGTACACATCTGTATGAACAAGCTCCAACTTCTCAACCTTGGGCATCCTCCTTGACTTGGCATAAATAACTCTCTTCTATTTTCCAAACACACATGGTTCACACAACTTTTACCTCTTTCAACTATGGAATTTTCCAAGCACACATGGTTCACTCATATGACCAAGTCTTTATTGGTGCCACAAAGTCGAAGAGTGACCAACATCATCACTGACTGAATTTACTTCTTCTACAGGTAATTCTACCATGTAAAGGGTTCCTTTCTTCTAGTCGCGATCAACAACTAGATTACCCTTCACCACCTTCCATTGACCATCTCTGAATGTACGTAACTCGATATCCCTGAACATCCAGCATACCCACAAAGATTAACATTCTCTTGAGGCCTGGAATATATCTAACGTCTTTCAATGTCCATATTGTACTCGCAAAAGTTCTAAGATTATATCTTGCATGCCTACAATGTTTAAAGCTTCATCATCTACTAGAAAAACTTTGCCAAAATTTCCAGTTCTGAATTTTTTCATCAAGTCCTTATAAGGAGAAGCATGGAAAGATGCACCATAATTCATGATCCAGGATTCAAACTTACTCTCAACACAACAGATCAATGCATCATCAATGTCTTATTGTGCTGCATTCACTGTGTTGTCATGCCTCTTTTCTTTAAGGGTAAAAGGAGAAATACACTGGTTTCTAAAGAGGCCATTTTGCTGACAATTCCAACAGATAATATCCTTGCGAGGTTTGGACTGTCCTCGCTTCTTAGACTTTGATCTGTCACGCTTAGAACCTTGCCTCTTTTCAGGCTTTCTGCCTTTACCTTCTGTGCTCAATAAGGAACCTGCTGATTCTCCAACGTTTCTCTTGCGAACATCCTCATCAAGGATTAAATCCCCAATCCTTCGAAGGTCAATTTCATAGTCCCAGATGTACTAGCGATTGCTATGTGACAATTCTTGACCAACTATCAGGCAATGAGGATAGCAACAATAGGGCTTGTACTTCATCATCAAATTTAATATCCATTGATACTAATCTCGACAGTAAGGAATTAAATTCATTCACATGATCTGTAACACTAGCACCTTCTCCCATCTTCGTATTAACTAGTTGAAGAATAAGATATACCTTGTTTGATGCTGATGGCTTCTTTTACATGTTTGATAACGCCTTTAACAAAGCATATGTCATCTTCTCATTGACAATGTTGTAGGCGACATTCTTTGCCATCGTCAGTTTGACGACGCCTAGAGCTTGCCGATCTAGCAACTCCCAATCTTACTAAGACATCATTTCTGGTTTATTCTCAGACAGAGGCTGATACAGTTTCTTCTAATACAAATAATTTTCAATCTGCATCTTCCAAAATCTGAAACCGCTCCCATCGAACTTGTCAATCTTCACTTTCCCATCTTTTGCCATTGCTCCCACTCGCGTGAAATCCTAGGCTCTTGATACCAGTTGTTGGGGATCATAAATGCACTCACACGCACAATTACAAGAGAGAAAGTAAATTAACAAGACACAGAGATTTACGTGGTTCAGTCAGAATAACCTACTTCCACGGTCACACTAGATGATATTCTCTATTTCATAATTAGGTTTATAATTACATGAGTATTTATAAAAATGAAAGGAAGCAAATAGGCCAAATCCAATAAACCCTTCAGACTCCACATACTCAACAAAGTTCTCTATTGTTGAGGATTAAGGTAGTTGCTGGAAATAAATAATTTCTTCCCATTTTTCATTTAATAAAAATATTATTCAATTAATTATTTTCTTTTATTCTTAATGCTTGTTTTGGCTTGATCACCCAATGCATGATTTTATAGAATATTTAACTGAAGTTGAGAAACCTTTTTGAAACTACGATATGGAGAAAACATTGATGCGATTTATTATCAAGGAATTGGGATAAACCTCATCAGTTGACTTTTGGTTCTTGACCTTAATATGGGATTGCTTAACAAAAATTACTTAGAAATTGAGATTTTCTTTAAACAGCTGTGAATTTCTCACCTAAAAATTTAGGGTTTAAATACATGCGTGGGCTATCGAAATAACTGTATACTTGCAATGTTGAATGGAAAACAATAAGATTTTAAATAGGGATAGTTAGTTAGTGGATCAATCATTGACTAACTTTATTATTAATTAAATTTCATTACAATTTATTACTTCATTATTATTCTATTACATTAAACATTTTCTTTCAGAATAATTTTAATTTCTTAGTAACTTGTTTGTTTGGTACAAATATTATATTAAATAACTAGAAGCCCAAGTCTCTATATATTTGATACTTGGACTTTTATCTTCTTTACTACTATGTCAACTAGTATACTTTCCAAATGCGCATCATTTACAAAATGCAACAATAAATAAAACAAGTAAAATTAGCCACAAAATAGAATATAGTCTTGTAAAAAAATCTACAATTATCTCATTAGTAAATATTCATGGTAGTGAGCACAAGAGCATCAACAACAACCTGAGTTCATTACACACTTGAAAAAGATATAAAATAGTTTTCATTCCTAAACTAAAAATGTACTTTCCAGATTATCGCCCACATAATGGTAGTGAAGGGAGAAAGACGCATGAAGAGGAAAGGCTATTATTATTCCCAACAAAAGATCCAATATAGTGACAAATTAGACCAAAATAGCTAATATGTTATGAGTTTCCAATAAGTGTAAAACATTACTAGAACTCAGGAGAATAAAGATTCTAAGTTAATTTTACCATTACTCAGGTCAATGAATAATTCTGACTACATAACAATTTTCTTATCCAAGTGATTCTAATTAGTTAATAGATTAAAAATTTTTATTGCCCATTTCAAAGACAAATATACCCTAACTCCATTGATCGTATAAATTTAAGAGTAAGTCTCTCAAAAGAAAGTTGCAATGTCAAATTCTATAAAAAAAAACTAAAAAAAATGGCAAAGGGAACAATCAATACCTACAACTATACATATAAATGATAGAAAATCAATATCAATGCATCCTACCTTGGTGGAATCAAAATACTTTTGCCTTTACCACATGATACTGGAGCGTGATTAGACCCAAAGATAAAAGGACATTGTTATGATAATTCTTTATACAATGTTCACTTATCACCACATGAGCTAGGTCAATTTCTGTCAAAAAAATAAAAATAAAAAGACAGTGTGATGATAAATTTCACAACGTGAATAGAACACATGATTCCTAGCAAAAGAGAATGCAAATTATGTTTGAGGCGTGAGGACCAATATGTGTATCATTATCATGTATAAGAAAACACATATTTATTCAGTAATTTTGAATAGAAGTTTTAGTAGCTCAGGCTCTTATCCAATCCTAGATTCAAGATATGGTATCATAACGTATCGTAATTCGAATATTGGATTACTCTCAAGTCTCAACTAACCAAGAAACGATTATTGAAGACAGATACTAGGTGTAGGGATATATTAAAAGAACCATGGTTTGAATTTTCTATTCCTGGTGCTGAATCATATCCTAGAGCTATTTCTAGTGTTGCTAGCTCTGTCTCTACTACTACACCAAGTTCAGGTGTTGTAGTTGTGGTTGATGTTGTTCCTAGCTCTAATGTTGGTTCTAGTGCTGTCGGTATTGCAACTATGAATAGAAACCAAATTCTAATTCCAACCCAACTTTGGTTTATAATACAGTCTAGCTGATTTACAAACCATCATTCATGCCAGATCAGTTTCATTCAACAACAATGGTCAAATGTAATTTGGAAGACAATGGAAATAATAATAAGAATAATAATTTGACTTTTGAACAACCAATTGTTACAGATGTTGGCCAAGGTTCTAATGATTTACAACGTGGTGCTGCAATTGTTCTTAGTGCTATTGGTACCAATAATTCAGCAACTCAAGCAATTGGTGATCATTCTACTGCTGATCCTTCATCTGTTGCAGAGGTTCCTATTGTTGAATCTGTGACACATTTTGGTGTAGTAGTTTTAGCCATGGTAGTTGAATCTTTAGGATACAAATAGTGTAGCGGAAAGGCTATTTTTTGAATCATAAAATGATAGTGCATTTTCGAAAGCAACTTTGTATGTATTTATTTGGCCCTTTTGATCTTTGTATGTGTCTAATATTTATGTTTTGGTTTAGATTTATGATAGTGGTATTATTTGATGATTGTTGTAATTTTTACTCAATTTTTGACTTTTTACCCACTTGAACACTCTGTCTTGTGCATGTCATATCTTTAGCTCCCTAACTCTGATCAGATCATTTTTGGTACCGTTGGAAAGCTTAGAGAGAGTGTTACAACTTCTCTGTTGAAGACAATGTAGTGAAAAATTGTGGCCTAGGATAGTTTTATTTTGCTGTTTCTAGTTTTAACTTTAATGACTTGTAATTGGTGTATTAATGAATTAATTAGTGGGTCAGGCTTTGTTTAGTCATACATAGGTCCATTTAGTTGTCTATACGTAACTGTAATTACATTGGAGTGATGAATTATTTTTGGACCTTTATTTTTCATAATTCTTGCACTACAAGTTTCTCTCATTTTCTCTTAACTAATTTCTTCTCTCTTCTCTGGCTCTCCTCTCCACATAGATTTTTGAGTTGATAACAATGGAGATGCATGGCAAAGTTTGATTAATCGATTAAAGTTTCCTATTAGATGGTAAATTCTTCTTAAATCTAAATTTTTCTCTTTTCTTTTTTAATTAATTTCAAATTCAATTCATGATTGTGGACTTTATTTTTGATTAATTGATGAACATGATCAATTCAAATTAGTTTTAGAATACTGAAATGGATTCAATTCGTATTGAAACAATGCGAAGCATATTTGTCTTCGTAAGATTTTCATAAAGCACGATTGCATTCTTTGTTTCTTAATTTGAATTGAATATTAAATGGTAAAATCCAGATTAATTCTTAATACTCTGATAATTAGAAACTTAAATTGATGTTTTATCCAATTTAGATTGTCAAACTCATGATTTTGTAGAATTAAATTCCAGTTTTACAATACGTTTTAATTTTTGCACATAAACTATTTGTGAAAAATCCTCTTGTTAACTCTCGATAAAATTTGAGTTTACGTGGATTGTGTCTTTCGAGGATTTGACCTAGGGTTTCTCAATATTGCAAAATTTAGGAGAAACTATTATTATTTGATCGCATTTGATGGTGTGTGTCAAGAATCAAATTGTATCGTAAATCATAAGATTCATATATGATCAATAAAAACATAACATATATATATATATATACAAGACATATAAAAGCTAGCACTCTTGGCCTAGGGACATTTTAACATAAACAAACATGAAAAATGAAATCAAACATAAATATATAATAAACTATAAGCTTCAATATGATCAAAGATACGAATAATAAGTCACAAGGCCAAAAGAAATGGCTGTACTATTCAACAACAAAGCCTCCAAAAGAACCATTTTTGTTGCTGCATCAATGCCTATAACAGTGGTTGTTTGTTGCTCTAATTTAGCAATATAGCTAGCCAAAAAAATATAAGTGTTGTTGTGTTGCTTCATAAATTTAGCAAAATAAAATAATTAGACCAACAACCCAACAACATGTGCAAAGGGCCGCAACAACACTCCAACAACAATCAACACTTATATTTATGACAGAAGGGATGGGACCACAAGCACCAACAACTGCAGTTGAAGTAGAGAACAAGTGAAGAGTGAAACGCAAGAGTGAAAAGCGACAGTAAACACGAATGTGACGAATATGTGTAACACGAAGTTGAAAATGTACCACGAAAAGTGAATCCCATCAAATTGGCCATGAAAGATGTATTTAGAGGGAAAATCAACACTTTCCATCTCTTTTTTGCTTTTTCTTTCCCCAAAAAACTATTTTTTAGGGTTTCCAAAATCAGGTTATGCATGACCTGACCCGATTTTAAGGCGCAACCCACTGTTTTGAAATCGTGCAATTCTGACTAGAATCACGATTTTTTCGATTCAAGCCACGATACGCACAATTCACATGGAATTCTTGAATAAAAACAAGATGACATGCGATTCGAATTGTCAAGCCTCAGAATCATATCGTATCGTATGATATGAATCGTGAATCGTCCGATACTTACTACAATGGTTTTACCAGCAAAAGCCACTTGTATTTTGGAGGATCATGCGACTAACTTACCTATTAAGAGTTTTTATTCCTTCTAGCCAGCTAGTAGTTTGTTGGAAGGCACGCTTCCATTAGAGGACATTGACTCTGTTGATGACCACCTTGGTTTGAATATTTCATCTTAGCCAACTGCACAGATTTTTGATTTTGCTATGACTCAAGACTTGTCCAATTTTGATTCCTCTGTCCAGTAAGACATGGCTTTACTTACTGCCAATAATTTGCTTGGAATGCTCAAGTGGAGGATCATTCTTCCCAACTTGAGACTACTAGAGGTTAGAAGAAAAAAACAAGAATTCTCCTTTTGATCCTTTAGACTTTACTACTAGGAAAGTGTCATTTTCTTGCAAAAAAATATTCGCAGAAATTTTTTACGAATTTTCTTGCAAAAAAATATTCGCAGAAATTTTTTGCGAATTTTTCTACAAAAAAATATTCACAGAAATTTTTTACGAAAAATAATTTACAGATATTTCTTACAAATTTTGCCACAATTTTAATAATCATAGAAATTTTTTTCCATGGTAAAAATTTGTAGAAAATATTGTAAAAACTTTATTTTGTTTCTTGCAGATTTTCTTGCAAAAATAAATTCGCAAGTAATGTTTACTAAATGGTAGAAAAATTTTGCAGGTGACTTTTCTTGCGGATTTTGCTACAAATTATAATCCGCAGAAAAATAAAAAATATATATTTAAATTTATAAGTTTAATATTTTAAAAAAACTTCAAGTCCCACATCGATTGAAAATAAATCAATTAAAGAGTATATAAGTTGGGGGCAACACTTGTCTTTCAAGTTGATTTATATGGTTGAGTGTTAGACTTATAATTTACAATCTTAGAATTTAAAAGATTATGTATCACATGTTGGAGGCATGGAAACAAATGTTTCGGATGAATTCAATGTGAGCATTTGAAAGTTGAAAAATTATTGATAGAATTTATAGTAATTTCTTTAATTTTTTTCGTAAAAATTATATTCCTGCAAAATTCTTGCGAAAAAATTTGCAGGAAATTTTCCTGTGAATTTTTTTTTGTAGAAAACTTTCCTGCGAATTTTTTTCGCAAGAAATTTCGCAGGAAAATTTCCTGCGAATTTTAAAATTCGCAAAAAAATATTATCCACGAAGGTATTACCTTCAGATAAAATTTTGCAGGAAAATTTGCAGGAACAATGTTTCCTATGAATTTTTATGAAAAATTCGCAGGAAAAGTCGCATGTAATAAGAGAAATTCTAGTAGTGTTTGAATTTTTCCCAATAGAGCTTCATAGTTGTCATTTCCTTAGTGATCATATTGTTTTAAATAGGATCATAATCAAAACTTTATTTCAGAATTTCAAAACTCTAGAAATAGCCACAATAGTCTAATCCCATTACAATATACACTACAAGAAAATATGATTTTTATGATGACAATATTTGTCACTATAACCTTAAAAAATCGTCACTGCATATATCTTGTGACGATATTTTGATTTGTCACCAGTCGTCACTAATATGCGAGTCACTATTTCATTAGTGACTATTTTTTAGATGTCACAAATAAAATATTTATTGTGATAAAAAATATCGTCACTAGTACTCATACACAATAATGACAAACTCATGTTGTCACAAATATACAAGACTATATAGTGATAATTTAATCGTCACTACTAAAAATTAATAATGATAATAATAAAAATAATAATAACAAAGTATTATTATTATTATTGCTATTAAATGTCAATTTTTTGTCACTGATTATTAATTTTAATCGATAGAATTTTATGACTATTTTTTTATAATAATTTATATTGTTTGATTATCACTATTTATTTAATTTAAAAATAATGCACTCGTCACTTTTTTAAATGTTAAAATGAAAATGAATTAAAGTAAATACATGATTAAATAATTCAAATATAACATTAATATATATATATATTAAATGCATCAGAATTAGACACAAGTTAAAACACTAAATAAAAATATTTATTAGAGTAAATGCGTCAGTATTGGACACAAGTTAAAACACTAAATCACTAAATATAAATGAACCATTACATGTTTAATAACAAAAATTGAAACATAATACCAACAACATTTTAAATCCCAAATATCGTATATTAAACTATTACAACTACTAACATTTCATAAATTTTAAATTAAATAGACTATTCTCTAAGTAAAAAGACAACATCTTCATGAATTTCCAGTCCTGCAAATAAATATAAGAAAAAATAATAAATATGTAGAAAAAGAAAATAATTGGTGTTTTTTTTAAATGTAATCACATATAAAATTTATTATAAAATATTAATTAATAAAAGACTTCAAATAAAAAAACTTACATTTTTAACTTAAGCACTTGAGTCAGTAGAGTCTACAACATCATATTTCTCCCAATAAGTTAGTAGGTGTCTAATGCATTTAGATTTAATTTAGATGGCATTTAGGGTTGTATTTGGGTAAGCATATGTTCAGCCACTAGTGGTGAGGAACATGTGACTCAAATGCAACTTAAATGACTTCCAAATTAACCCTAATTTAACCTAATCCGTCCACTTAAGTATTCTTTGTATTTTCCTATTCTAATGGCCTAAATACAATGGCCAAAAAAATACAATGGAAAGGAAAAATTACAAGAATGAAAATGAGCCCAATATTGGGTACCAAAAGCCCAAAGGCCCACAAAGCCCAAAAACAGGCCCAATAAGCCTATGGCCAAAAAATGCTAATCTATGTGGTCCAAAATACAAGACCAAAATATGTGAAACCTATACTAATAGAATATGTACAAAATATAAGAAAATGGATTTATCAAGATAGGCCCATGAGAAGCTCAAATTGGGCCTTCTAGGCCCATCGGGCCCATTGGGCCTTAACTGGCCCAAACCTCCATGCCTAGCCCACTCCTCTTGGATCTTTTAGGTTATCACCTCTTGCCTTCCTAAGCATGATTCCATCATTGGTTTAGTTAGGTTCATCATCAAACTTGGAATTTAGCTTATTAGTAACAAAGATGGGAAGATGTGTATTCTTCAAGAATAGCAACTCCTTCATCTTTCTATTTTACAAGTAATAATTTGTTCCACTTAAAGAAATCATCTGCGTATTTGTCTTTGTCACTATAACCTTAAAAAATCGTCACTACATATATCTTGTGACAACATTTTGATTTGTCACCAGCCGTCACTAATATTCGAGTCACTATTTCATTAATGACTATTTTTTAGATGTCACAAATAAAATATTTATTGTGATAAAAATATCGTCACTAGCTAGTACTCATACATAATAATGAAAAACTCATGTTGTCACAAGTATACGAGACTATATAGTGACAATTTAATCGTCACAACTAAAAATTAGTAATGATAATAACAATAATAATAATAATAATAATAATAATAATAATAACAACAACAAAGTATTATTATTAATATTGCTATTAAATGTCAATTTTTTGTCACTGATTATTAATTTTAATCGTTAGCATTTTATGACTATTTTTTATAATAATTTATATTGTTTGATTATCACTATTTATTTAATTTAAAAATAATGCACTCGTCACTTTTTTAAATGTTAAAATGAAAATGAATTAAAGTAAATACATGATTAAATAATTCAAATATAATATTAATATATATATATATTAAATGCATCAGAATTAGACACAAGTTAAAACACTAAATCACTAAATATAAATGAACCTTTACATGTTTAATAACAAAAATTGAAACATAATACCAAAAATATTTTAAATCCAAAATATCGTATATTAAACTATTACAACTACTAACATTTCATAAATTTTAAATTAAATAGACTATTCTCCAGGTAAAAAGACAACATCTTCATGAATTTCCAGTCTTGCAAATAAATATAAGAAAAAACAATAAATATGTAGAAAAATAAAATAATTGGTGTTTTTTAAAATGTAATCATATATAAGTTATTATAAAATATTAATTAACAAAAGATTAAAAAAAAACTTACATTTTTAACTTAAGCACTTGAGTCAGTAGAGTCTACAACATCACATTTCTCCCAACAAGTTAGCTATTTGACGCTTCACTTCATTCTCAACATTTTGCTTCATTTGCTCTTGTTGAGCATCAATCAATTCTCTTTGAGATTGCAATTCAATTTGTAGTTGAATATTGGTCTCCTCTTGCTTTTTAGTAATATCAGTCAATTTTTGCACTTCTAAATCTAAATTATTTGCTCGATTTTGAGCATTCTCAAGTTGATTTTGAAGAAATTGTTTTTGTGAAAATTTCTTAGTTATTCCTGAACTGCCAACACCTATAGAGTGATTTGGTTTTCTTCCTAAAACAATGGCAAAGTGTTCCACCAATGGTACAGGGGCCTTTGAAATATTTTCCTGATATGTATCACTTACATTCTTCAAATCTTCCTATAAAAAATATAAAAAAAATTATGATGTCATTAAAGTTTCACTATACTAGTTCACAAATAGATATTAAAAAATTGCATAAAAGCATTATTACTAACTATCAACACATAAAGAAAATTGCAACTATATATAATATGTCACATACAACATATATAATTAATGTTTTATATTTAATAACAACATAAATTCTATAAAATATCTTTTTACTTACCATAATTTATTCTCCATTTGGAATGCACCAAGTCTTATTAGATCTCATACGTGTTGCTTTCCAAACTTCCATAACATTTAGCCATTCATCAGCTTTGGATTCTTGTTTCTATTAAAATAAAATAATAAAATAATACAAGTAAATTAATGATTAAATTATCAAAAATAAAATTTAGTATTGAATGACTTTATAAATTTGCAAACCTTACATTTATTGATAGCTTATTATATATGAAAATAAAAAGGGAAATTTTTTTATATAACGTACAAAGAATTTTACATGAAATATTACCATTTTAAATGCCTTTTGCACAATTGATTTTGTACCGGTAATTGATTTCATCTCTTGCTTGCTTCAATTAACTTTATTTTTGAAGCTCCTTTCCTGCATATGAATAAAAATTATTTATAATCTTATAAATATAAAATTATAAAAAAATAAATTTAAAGTCAAAATATTTAAGTAATTTTACCTGAAATTTTAAATCACTCCACTTATTATTGATTAACCAATTCCAATCATCAGGAGATACATTTTTTGGCCTTCCCTTCTTTTTGAGATATAGTTGATGTAAATGATAAAGCTTATTTTTGTATTGAGATTGAATTTGCTTCATTGCATATTCCTTAACCTCATCAGATAAACTTAATGCATCCTATGTCACATGAATATTATAAGAGAAACAAAAACAAAACATTATCAAATGAAGTTTAAAAATATAAATTATGTTGAATGAAAGTAATAACCATACTAACCTTCATATGTTTCCACATTTCATCTACATCATCTTTAGTTATTTCACTCCAACTATTAACTTGCAAAGGAGCTTTCTGGCGTATACAAACTTGTGCCTCGGACTTAAAATATTTTGCATGTTTTCCACATATCTTATAAAATGGTGGAGGAAATTGAATGTCAATATTTTTTTCCTTTTGCCATAAGCCTTTCTTTTTTCTTTCTAAATTTTGCATTAATTGTATGTCCACGTCCTTTCCTTATGGTATGATCACCTAAAATAAATAAGATAAATTAATAATATTTTATAATAATATTATTTTATTTTTTCCTAAAAGAGTGTCATAAAAGTACCTGAATTAGATTCAACTTGTTCTACATTCATCATTTCTGAGGCATGAGATGTCCTATTGAGTTGAGACTCATTCACTTATTTTTCAACGTGTGTAAATGGACCATTAGAGGCTCTTTTAGAATTCAATCTCAATGGTCTTATCACCTATCAATTACGATAATTAATTATAAAAATTAAAGGTAAATACAAATTACATTATTAAATAAGTAAAAAAGAATGCCATAATTAAATTGATGAATTGTCTATGCATTTCAAGTATCAATTCAAAATGATAAGATTTGTCTAAAATTAGTGTCCTCTAAGAACTACAAAGTGACTATCCATACAAAGTTTTTTAAAAAATTCAGTATGAGCATATAAGATTATGAGACACAATACTTGGTTGAAAGACTATCATCAATGAACTTGTAAACTATAAATTTTATGGATTATTAATATTTGATAGGAAATTTTTTTCCTAAATGCATATGTTATTGATTCAAATGATTAACAAACTAAATTACTCTAATAAAATCTACTATAATTCAATAACAAAATAATGCATATTAGAATTACAATGAAAACAAATTCAACACTTGCCTTTCTTTTTCGTGACCCAAAAGCATTTTCAACAGTAAAATCATTATCGTTGTTATCCTCACTAGAAAAATTTGATCCAAGTTCTTCTTCATCTTCAAGTATTGATAGACTATGGTACGCATATACACATGTCTCCACATTCACGCATATACACATGTCTCCACATTGGTGAGATATTATCCGCTTTGGACCCAAGCCCTCATGGATTTGCTTTTGGACATCACCCAAAAGGCCTCTCGACCAATGGAGACAAGTGTGTGTATATAAACTCATATCCATCCTCTTGTTTGAACGATGTGAGACTTTGCTTGCATCCCAACAAGAATTGACTCAAATGGTGGATATGCAAGCATGATAACTTATATGTTGTTCTATATCTCCATGAATCAAGAAACTTTTGCTTACATTGTATCATTTGGTCTATGTACCGAAACTGATAATATTTGAGATTATGCATGATTATGATTCCAGTTGTTGTTACTACCCATATTGGGCCACCTATTATCAGGCTATTATCAAGCCACCCACAAATGCCTCCTCCTGGGAGGGAGTGTTAGAAATCCTTCATTGATGTTTAAAACTAGTGATATGGTTAAAATAATGTATATACGTGAGAATTCTCAACTCATGAACTACTTTTTGAGGTTGAGTCACTCCCAAACCCAAATTCTGATATAGTTAGGCCCAAAAGCTTAGCATTTTTTTTTTTGTTGGTTTGTCTCTAGAGAGACAGGGTCAATAGCAGTGACTAATCTCCTCGCTACGTTGGAGGCACCTCAAAGGGTGGGATAGCTGGCTCCAAGATTTAACGCAGCTGCATACACAAGGCAGGATTTGAACCCCTGACCTTGCTTAAGCGTAGATCAACCCCTACCGCTAAACCACACGCTTGTGGTTAGCGCTTTTGAAATGCATGTATCAAAACTCTTAAGTTGAAGAGTAATGGTAGAAGTATAACAATTCTAACAACTTGTACATCTCTTTTTGCGTCTATTTCTCTATCACTTCATTTATTACATTTTAAATTTCTCTCTTTGTTATACATGTATCATTTCTCTCTGAGTTGAAAATAAAAAAGGGCAAATGGGTAATAAAAGCCAATGTACCTCAGGAAGAAAGCCACTGTAATAGAGAGCAAATAAAGCAGGGAAAATCTTCCTCTTTGCCAGCTCGCCAGTGGCTCCTATGACAACAATGCAAAGTGAGGGTTTTCTGCTAAAATCCATGGAAGTACCAGACAAACCTGTCTGCAGCAAAGATGGAGACTCCATGGGAATAACCTTATCTGTGGGAATATCACGAGAAATATGTTGCAAGTTTTAAGACAGTCAATCACATGGAATTCTAAACAACTAAAAGAAGTAAAAACGGTCAAAAAAATTCAACACACCATCAGGCCCACGAAGAATTGAAGATGAACCAGAAACCGATTCCTTTTCATTTGATAAACCTGTATTTTCCAAATTATTTTTGAAGATATTTCTATTCTTAGGTTGCTTAGGTGTTTGGAATTGGAAATTGAGTCTCTCAAGTATCCACAGTTTGAAACCACGAAGCCTCCGACACAAACTTGTGCCTCCAACATTCAGTAGAAGACGACCACCACCTGTCACTGAATGAAAGTTATTCGATGAAACCTGCAAAAATTAACAACCGAGAGAACAAACAGTGAGTGCATTTGGTGCAACAAATTTATAACGAAAAAAGAGGGGGGAAAAACATACGGTAATTGAATTTGAGCAAAGAGGTGCTGGTCTTGAAAATGCGAATGAAGATTCCGAGAACGGAACCGAGGTTGAAGAGAAACACGCTGACATTCCTACGAGTTCGTGTTTTCCGCATTCGGACATCAACGTGTCCGAGGTAGTGAGTCATGAAAGGGAGGACGGTTGCACTCGATGTTAGTGGTCCTGGATGCAGCAGAGTGGAGACACTCTCCCTATTTTTTAAATTATTTGTAGATATTTTTATAAGTTTGGATAAAATATAAAAACATAATTTAACAATTAAATACATTAAAAAAAATTGTATAATTAATTAATTCTAACAAATTAAGACTAATAGTTGGTGACATCTTTAATAAGAATGGAGTAAAATAAATATAAAGTCATTCCTAAAATAATACTTCTATAGTTTATTTTGATATTAAAATATTTGTAACTATTTTATACAAAAGGTTAAAAAATTTTAAATAAAATGAGTTGGTGATATAATTTGAAGGTTGATTTTATATGATATTTTGTTATTGAAATTATATTATTATATTTTGGGTCAGAAATATATTATTATTATAGAGGAAAAATATTTTATAATATACATGTATTTATTTTATTTAATTATTTTGAGGAAAAAGAGAAGTGGGTTAGAAGAGAAGGAAAATGGGTTGGGTCGACCCAGCCCAATGGATTAATTTTAAGAAAAGAGTTAGGAAGTGTTGACCCTATTTGCCTCATTTGCATTCTGAAGGGTTAGGAAAAAAAAGAGGAGAAACAAAGAACTCTAAGGAAAAGTACTCAGGAACGATCTTAGATCACACCAAGACCATTCGTTTTCTGCTCATCCAGGTAAGGGGGAAGTGAGAAACCTCGCTCAAGGTGCGGGAATAGCGGGAATAATTGTTGGGTAGTAGGATTGACCCCCAATCCCTTGCCTGATGCATGTTTCTAAGAACAGGCAAATATATGAACGTTTTCTGTTTTTCTTTCTGATTGTTCTGTTGGGCTTCTTGTTGAATGTGATGTGTAGATATGTGATTGATTTTGAGAATGATTATGTTTTGATATGAATTAGAGTGCTCTATGGGTTCTTACGGGAAACTCTATGAGAAACAAGCAAAATAGGAATGTTTTATGTTTTGCTTTCTGATTCTTTCATTGTGTTCCTTATTGAATGTGAACTCTCTATCTATGTATTTTGAAACCTTATTTTTAGGAAAGTTTTATTTACTCTAGAATGTACTTTATATTTATTCTGTATTATGTATGTGGGGTAGAGGGTGTCACAAGATCTTCGTTTTACATGATTCCGGTGCCATTGGAAAGATAACATCCAAAGCTACAATTTTTATGAAGACCACAGAAGCTAATTCTGTCACTATAGCACTTGTACTGGCGTGACAATACTGCAGAGAAATCATCCCCTGCACCAGACAACAAAAGAGTGCACCAAAGTCCAAGACCACGAAAATACCTTATAATACTTCCAAACTCACTTCTTTCCATCCCAAACTCATATCCAAGCTTCCCACTACAATCCTAAACCAAAATAATTCACATATTCCACACTAAAGACTTAGAGTTTTATTAGAATTTTTAAATAAATATTTATATGTTTTAAGATAGGGTTGATTTTATATGATATTTTGTTATTAAAATTATATTATTATATTTTGGGTCAGAAATATATTATTATTATAGAGGAAAAATATTTTATAATATACATGTATTTATTTTATTTAATTATTTTGAGGAAAAAGAGAAGTGGGTTAGAAGAGAAGGAAAATGGGTTGGGTCGACCCAGCCCAATGGATTAATTTTAAGAAAAGAGTTAGGAAGTGTTGACCCTATTTGCCTCATTTGCATTCTGAAGGGTTAGGAAAAAAAAGAGGAGAAACAAAGAACTCTAAGGAAAAGTACTCAGGAACGATCTTAGATCACACCAAGACCATTCGTTTTCTGCTCATCCAGGTAAGGGGGAAGTGAGAAACCTCGCTCAAGGTGCGGGAATAGCGGGAATAATTGTTGGGTAGTAGGATTGACCCCCAATCCCTTGCCTGATGCATGTTTCTAAGAACAGGCAAATATATGAACGTTTTCTGTTTTTCTTTCTGATTGTTCTGTTGGGCTTCTTGTTGAATGTGATGTGTAGATATGTGATTGATTTTGAGAATGATTATGTTTTGATATGAATTAGAGTGCTCTATGGGTTCTTACGGGAAACTCTATGAGAAACAAGCAAAATAGGAATGTTTTATGTTTTGCTTTCTGATTCTTTCATTGTGTTCCTTATTGAATGTGAACTCTCTATCTATGTATTTTGAAACCTTATTTTTAGGAAAGTTTTATTTACTCTAGAATGTACTTTATATTTATTCTGTATTATGTATGTGGGGTAGAGGGTGTCACATTTAGTGGTATCAGAGCCTGGTTGATCCAATCGGCCGTGAGTTATGTACTTATCATGATTCTTTTGTGTACTTTGATAGTGTTTTGTTTGTTGTGTACTTGGATGATGCTTTGATAATGATGATGATGATGATGATGATGTTCTCCTTGTGTTGATATTGTTGAGTTTGACACTGTTAGATTATGTTGTAATTAGAGGAATGATAGATAGTGTTTGCTAATATCATTATGACTGCTCTTCTTCATTCTTATGATTGCTTATTTGTTTTGATACTTCATGCTTACGTAAGAAGTAGTGGTTGGGTGGTATCGCTTGTGTTGTGAGCATAGGTGCAAGTAGTAGTGGACGAAGTATCGTGCTAATTAACTAGAAACTATTGGAACCTTAGGTGTGGGTGAGACATTAATTTGTTGAGTTTATTAAGGGTTTACGGTTGATTGAGTTTCTAAAATCTATAGTTGTAGCGATTGAATCTTAAGAGGTTTTATGTTGAGAATTGGAGTTGAGTGTTCTTAATGAAAGGTTGAAATGTCAGTGATTTTGGTGCTTGGATGTTAACCTTTTATGGTTTAGGTTGCACGTGGATTTTATTTCAGCTCTAAGTCTTTAGTGTGGAATATGTGAATTATTTTGGTTTAGGATTGTAGTGGGAAGCTTGGATATGAGTTTGGGATGGAAAGACGTGAGTTTGGAAGTATTATAAGGTATTTTCGTGGTCTTGGACTTTGGTGCACTCTTTTGTTGTCTGGTGCAGGGGATGATTTCTCTGCAGTATTGTCACGCCAGTACAAGTGCTATAGTGACAGAATTAGCTTCTGTGGTCTTCATAAAAATTGTAGCTTTGGATGTTATCTTTCCAATGGCACCGGAATCATGTAAAACGAAGATCTAGAACTCCAGTTATGGTTGTTTTAGTGAACAAAGGTCTAGCTGTAAGCGCTGAATATATCTGCTGCGGTTTTTGAAATTTTTAGCTAAGAAGATGATCTTTTTAGAATCTCATGTCTTCATAAGAGTTGTATCTTATTCTCTTATATTTCTTTTGAGGAAGGTTTGAGATCATTTGGATGAGTATAACTCTCTATTTATCATTTTTCTTTGACAGTTGTTGAAGGGATATGTATGGTGTAATGATATTTTTGAGTTATTAGGCAATGCAACGATAAAAACTGATTTTGTTATGATGTTCTGAGATGTTGTCTTGTGGATTGAAAGTTTCTTTAAGGTTGTATGATGCTATGT